CCCCTTTCTCCGACTTCTGGAGCTCAAACTCTGTGATCATACCTGGGAGTACTGCGACAGGCTACATAGGAATCACTGCAAGCCAGAGGTGTTTAAAGCCAAGATAACATTCACAACGGAGAGGCTGGCTCCTCTATGGATAATTCAAAACACTTGAATTAGAAACCAGCCTGTCACTGTTATGAGTAGTGTCATCCCATAGATGGCCATGTTACAGCAGATAATTCTATGTCTTCTCAAGTACCTCCTGCCCTGGATACAGGAGTCAAGAGTGCTACTGCATGGACCAACTGAAGGAAACAGCCATACCTACAAATAAAACCTCTTAAGAGAGGGATGCATCATTGGAGATGGATATCGCACAGTGTCAGGCATCAGTTCAGCCACAGATAACTCAAAAAACACCTTACCAGAAAGCTCTTCAGTCCTTTCCACCAGAGACACCGTATCACCAGCAGTCACACCAGGAGAGGGGTAGAAAGAAGGTTTTGTGCTGGTGTCCAGTGGTGGCTCTTCCAGCACTGGTGCCTGTGTGTGATGTGTAGCAGCAGCCACTTCTGGCAGGCTGTCACTGGCCTGACCCCGACTGGATGATTTGTCAGAGGCACCTGTGTCACTGCTGGGCATCTCTGAGAAAGGAAAATCAGTTGAGTGACTTGGGACTATGGTGGCCAGGGCAGTTACTGGCTCTACATTCCCCTTGGTCAGCTCCTCAGCAGATGGCTCAGCTTTACACCCAGCGTCTTGTCCAGCTGGAGCTGTCTCCACCAACACATCGCCTTCAGTTTCTCTGCCCTCAGTGCCACCGTCCTGAAGGCTCTTTTCCAGCTTGGTTTCATCCTGCAGCTGACCATGCTCACTCGGGTCAAGCTTGCTCAGGTTAGTACCAAACTGAGCATCTTCTATGGGATCAGGAGGGTTTTGGGCCTTTCCATCTGGGCTCACAAGCTCAGGCTGGATCCTGCCACCAGCAGGGGCAGCTGGTGGGCCTGGAGAGGCAGTGAGCGTGGGCAGTAAACCCTTTGTTGCCTTTGTCCTCCAGCTCTCTTTTTTAGAGGTCTCCTGGTCAGGCTCTTGGGGAGCTGCTACGGTATCGTTTGAAGAGCCCACAACTTCAGGGTCTCTGAATACATAATACTGTCCCTTAAAATATTTGTATTTATGGCTTTGGGAGCCACTCCCTGACAGAAACAACACCTGGACCTCAGCAGCTTGCGTAGCAAAGACCAGAGTGCCTCGGTTGTGGCAGGCATAGGCCACTTTGGTTTCCACAGTTGATGAGACCCCCTGGAAGATGATCTTGTCCTGGTTGTTGCCACAG